GTTTCAAGAGCTGTGGCACAGGGTCAGTTCCAGAGTGCAGATGGAAACCGGAAGGATCCTGTCCCAGGTTGTTCCTTGGTTCCTGTGTCCTGAGGGTTCTGGACAGGTCCCTCTGAGCAGAAGTGATGGTCTTCTCTGTGCTCACAGGCATGTCTGCTCCCCTGGGAGATCAGCTTTCTCCAGGCGGTATTTGGGTATGAAGCGCTATGGCACAGGATCAGTTCTGGGTGCTGTGACACAGGATACTTAGTTTCTTTCTTGATCCACTTTTTTTAAATCCAGCACAGAGTTGTTCAGGTTCCATGAGTTTGGAAGCTATCTGCTGTTTCTGATATCCTGTTTTAATACATGGTCGTCAATTTTCTTGAATGTGTCAAGTCTTGCTTTGTATCAGTATGTGGTCAATTTTGGAGAATGATCCATGAACTGCTGAGAAGGTGGTATACTCTGTGTTTGGGTGAAATAAGACATTTAGTAACAGAGTAATCCACTGGGCTTGGCTTGAGCTTCTGAAACCTCAAAGCTTACCCTCAGTGACACATTTTCATTAACAGGGCCACATATCTCCAACAAGGCCACATGTTCTAATCCTTTCAAATAATGCAACCCCCTATGGGCCTATGGGGGCCATTTTAATTCAAACTACCAAATTCCACTCCCTGATTCCCATAGGGTTATGGCTATATTGTAATGCGAAAAAAATGCATTCAATCTTACTTCAAGATTCTCTATCTATTGTCTAAAAAGTCCAAAGTTCAAAGTCTCTTCTGAGTGTCATGCTTTTATAGCCTTTTAACTATAACCCACTGTTAAATCAAAATCAAAAAAGCAGATCACATACTTCAAACATATATGGCACAGAATATACATTACCATATCATAAAGGAGGAAAGACATCATATAGGGAAGAAATTATGGACAAAAGCAAAACTGAGAACCAGTAGGGAAAACTCCAATCTCTGGATCTCTGTCTGATGTCAAAGTGCTCTTCAGATTTCCACATTTTTTCAGCTTTTTTTGACTGTAACATACTTTTTCGCTGGCTGATTCCATACCCAGTCTGTAGCTTTCCTTGGCAGGTGTCCCATGGCTCTGGCATTCCCAATATGTTGGGATCTCCAAGGCAATTCAGGTTTTACTTTCACAGCTTCACACAATTGCCTCTCTGAGACTCTCTATAGGGACACCCCTCACACATGCCTGGCCTAATCCACTTTCCTAAGTTAAGGAAGAGGACATTGCTACATCTATCTTGTGCTCTTGACTGAACTGTATGACTAGAGCTGCCAGGTCTACTGCTGCTGGAGCTGTAAACTGGCTCTCTCATTCAAATGCATTTTTACCAGGTCTTTTCAGTGGTTTCCTTCAATGCCTAAGCTTGGCTATTGTAGAACTCTCTATGTAGAATAGTATTTTTAAAACAATGAGCCATCTCTCCAGTTCCTACCTCATGCCCACTCATATAAAGGAAAACATTTAATTGGGGCTGGCTTATAGTTCAGAGGTTTAATTCATTACCATCATGTTGGGAAACATGGCAGCATGGAGGTAACACAGTACTGGAAAAGGAACTGAGAGTTCTACATCTAGATTGACAGGCAGCAGAAAGATTGTTAGTCACTGGGCCTGGCTTGTGCTTCTGAAACTGTGAAGGCCACCCCAGGCAATATACTTCCACTATCAGGTCCATATGTCTTAATTCATTTAAATAATGCCACTTTCTATGAGTGTATGGGGACCATTTTCACTCAAACCACCATATGTGCTGAGAGATTTTTTTTTTCTGGTCCAGTTTATTTGGTGTTGTTCTGTATACTTCTTGATAGGTATCTCCTTTAGGTTAGGGAAAATGTCTTCTATGATTTTGTTGAAAATGTTTTCTGTACTTTTGACATAGGATTCTTTTTCTATCCCTATCAAATTGTAGATTTGGTCTTTATAGTATCACAGATTTCTTGGCTGTTTTGTGCTGGACATGTTTTAGATTTAACATTTTCTTTGACCAAGGTATTGATTTCTTCTACTTTGTCTTCAATCCCTGATATTATCCCCTCCATCCCTCATATTCTGTTGGCGAGACTTGTCTCTGAGGTTCCTATTTGAGTCCCTAAATTTTTCATTTCCTGATTTCCTTCAGTTTGAGGTTTTCTTTATTCCCAATTTCAGGTCCTAAATTGCTTTATTCATTTTCTTCCACTGCTTGCTTGTGGTTTCATAGATTTCCTTAATGGATTTATTCATTTCCTTTTTAAAGACATCTATATTCACAAGGCTGTCTTAAGAGCTTTTCTACTGCTTCAGCTAAGTTACATTTCTCAAGGCTTGCTGTAGTAAGGTTGCTGGGCTCTATTAAAGACATTGTCCTGGCTGTTACTGTGTTTTTATGTTCCTAAGTATCTGGGTATGGAATAATTGTAATTCTAGTTGCTGAGATGTGGTCTTATCCTTGTTGGGTGATTATTTTGTTCTTTCATTCTGTTGCCATCTCTGGTTCTTAAGGGAATATGGTAGCCCTGTATTGCCTGGTAAAGAATTCTGGGATCCTGTCAGGTGTGGCCACTGGAGGGTTTTTTGTTTGTTTTTGTTTTTTTGCATAGAATGTTTCTAGGTATTGGGAACAGATTCTTAGGAATGGGGATAGATGGGAGTCCCATGGGAGGAATGAAAGAAGAGTGTTCCACCAGGATCTGCTTAGCATCTTCAGAATGGCAGAGAGCAAAGAGAAGCCAAGACAGGTGGTCTTCTACAGAGCTGGGGGTGACACTTGGTGTTGGGAGCCAACTCCTAGCAGAAAGCAGCTATCTTTGCAGAAATCTTGGGCCATATATTTGCAGGTTGATTGATATCTTTCCACCCTGAGAAGAGACTTGTTTTTCTAGCATGATATTTTTGCAAACAGTCTACAACAGCTGAGCACACTCTGATAAACATCTTGTTTTTCTCAGACATATACTAGACTTGCTGTTTAGTGCCCCCAGATGCAATGCACTTGTGGTTAAGTGTCTTCAGCTGCACTCCCCTGCTTGTGCTTACATACTCATAATTGCCTTTCAATAAATAAGACTTGATCAGACACCCTGTCTTGTCTCCATTCTTCGAGTTTCTTGCCCTCAATTCCCACTCTCTCCCTTGCAGACCCCATTGACTGACCTGCAGGCCGGGTAATTTGGTGATTGGATTTGGAGAAGAGGGAAAGATGAAGCAAGTTCTGCAGTTACCCTTAACTGATTTTCTGACTGATATGGCTGGCCTGCAGGTTCCAGGGGATGTCTGCTGGAATTGGGAGCTGGGATAAAAGGATGGATAGGGGAATGAATGTTGGAGAATGTTTGGATGATCTGCTGGAGATAGGGGGCATAAAGGAAGGGGAGACCACAGTAGAGGGTCTGCTACAGAGCTAGGGATGAGACTGGGGGATTGGATTTGGAGGAATGGAGGAAAGAATCTGCAGGTAGTTTTCCTGTTTCTGTGGCCACCTCTGGTATTTCTAAATGATTATATTAGAAATAGTTATGTAAATATACACATTTTATTTCTAAATTGTTTCTTGTCCCACAAATCATAAAGCATATTATCACATGGACCTTTGAACAGCAAGGTTCTAATTCCTGGTCTAAATTTAAAAATAAATGAATATGTCATATTTATTAAACATGAATGATATAACAACTCATAAGTAAATTATCAAATCTATTTTGAGTTTCTATATTCAAATCACAGCCAAAATAACTTGCCTGAGTTATAAAAATATGTACATAAAGTTAGGTAGATAACAAAGACTATTGCTGTTAAAGGTGGTGTTTCATTAGTGTGACAGCCCATTTCTCCAAATTCCTTTTCAGTATAATTTTTTGGTATTACAGTATATATTAAGGTTCAAAAACAGTGTAACCATTGATCTCACTCAAAATTTCTGGCTTATGAAAAAGAATTAAATTATTTCTAGGGATTATTTTAAAATATTCCCAAGGATAACCTTTATTTAATGTGTTTAAAATGTATAACAATTTAAAAAACACTGAAACTAATGATTTTACAAATATACCATTTGAAGACCAGTTGTTGGGGCCCATGGCTTTAACATTTGCAGGCAGAACTAAATTTGAGGTTAGCCAGGTCTATGGACCATGTCTCAAAAATAAAACAAGAGCTACAAAAATTAATCTTAGCAAATCTTTGTTGTACATACAATTCATCTAAGGGCTAATAAAATGTTAATATCTTTTTAAACTAGAAACTCCCATCATTTTCTTCATAAATCTTAAAATCTTAGCTAATGTCAACTGAATACACTGAGTATGCATTTGTGCTTGAATAAGAAACTACTTTACCACTGTAATATTAAACGCTGGTATTGTTCAAATATTCTACCAGCTTTAGATTGACATTACCTTCAAGTGTCTGACTGAAGGTGGCTTGTAATTCATGGTTCATAAAATACAATAATAGTAATTGTAAAGTAATTATATTTATTCAAGTAAAATAAACATTTATTTAAAATACAATCTAACAAAATAGGTGGATACCAGGAGCTTAGAAAGAATTGGCAAGCAGCCTGCTTTGGAGTTAAGACTTCTACACTGTGATAAAATACTTATGAAATAGCTACAATTTTAGGTCACTTTAACACTTTTAGTGCAATGTAACTGTATACATCTCAAAGTATGAAGGTACTAACAAGTAGATTTTAAAGCAGAGCTTTTCCCCCTTTCAAAGAATGGCTAATATTTTATTACTTGTATATTTACAAAACATTATGCAAATTTCAGTATATTTTATTCCAAAACTGCATTAATTTAAAAATACACTTTAGGTGATACTTTAGTACAGACGTTACTTTTAGAGACATAGTTTATGTAAAAATATGACCCAAAGAGAGTTACCTCCTTTTACTGTTTGTTCATAAGACACACAAGCTGCATTTGGAGTCATATTTTTCATCTCTTAACAGTTGAGTCAGGAAGTTCTTGCACACAAGCATAGAGGTACTTAGATGATGTATATTTGCAAGGCTACTTTATTATTTTTTTCATTTATAGACAAAAAGCTAATCAGATAAAATGTGTTGACAGCAGCCAGATTTCACGCATCATTTCTTTCATGAGCCTTGAATAAAGACTCTAGTCCTCTGCGTATGTTGAGAAGTTCCTCTTCATGCTGTGACCAAGGGGAAAGACAATCATTTGCATAAAGATACAATTCGTGCTGAGCCCACCCGCTCCCTTAGGTTTTACATGGAGGTATCTAGAGGATTCTCCCATCATTAGCTATAGTATTCATGATACTGGAGGAAAGACTTGCAATCTTCCAAAGCTCAACATAAAAAATTTAAAAGAAAAAGTAAAGAAAATTATTCTAGAAAAAATTTTCAATGAGGACAAACCTATGCAGTTTACTTGCTCAAGCTGTGTTAGCTTGACTATAGCTTTACAACCTCTGCACCACTTAGTACTGGATGTCAGAAAGTCTCACAAGTATTTTAGTACTTAATGTAGATAAAGGTTACTATTGTTATGTACTTAAAACTTTGAGAAAACCCCTAACCATGTCTGTGTAAAGCAGGAGCATGTGTCTCTCTGGAGTGTACTTCATCCTAGAATGTAGCTGGTGGTCTACTTGACTTCTAACAACCCAACTATGCTATTGCTAACCCAGGTAACAGTTCTTCCACTAAGTAGTCTGGCTTGCTTGGCTTTTGTTAAAGTACACAGTGTTTATAAACAGCACAAACAAGTTATTTCTCCGCCTAGTTTTTACATTTGCAAATCATTATCTGTTTCCTCTGAAGGGATTCTTCATCCATCCCTCAGATACTCTTACAAGGTTTCCATAATTTAAAAACCTAAAAGTCATGAGGTCAGCTTGAACCTGCCTTCTCCAAACCTTCACAACCCCCCCCCAATAACAAAAAAATCTTTGTTTTTCCCATTAAAAACTAACCAAAAAACAAACAAAAGAAAACCAAAGAAGTAAATAAGTATGAAAAGCTTCTGAAAGAATATGACATATTAAAAAAAAAAGTAAAAAGTGTAGTGGTCCATGCCTATAATCTGAGCATTCTGAAGGCTGAGGCAGGAGGATCACAAGTTTAAGGCCAGCCTGGGCTCAAAATCAAGAACCTATTTTTTAAAACAGACAGTAAAGGACACAAAAGCCAGGTAAGTAGATGGAAGCACACACTAAGCTCACTCACCATCTCCTTAAGTAGCTTGTCTTGTAGCATTTTCATGTTTGCTTTCATCAAACACATCTGGAAACAACATATTTCTCTCATGAAATTTATCAAATTTTCACAACGAAAAGACAAGTTAGACTAACCAGCAAGGTTACAAGATAAGTATAGAAAATTTATACCTCAGATGTAAAAGCAGTGTCTTCATAAACAGAATTAAAGACAAGAAAACTTTTATCCAGTGAAGTTTTCAAAAAATGAAGCCTAATAGATAAAATGAGAATGAACTTTTTACGAATCTGCCCACATTCTACTGCTATAGTGCAGCATATGTTATATACAGAGTCTGTCCATTAAGAAATGCATACTAACCTCTCTTGCTCACTTTGGTGATATGCCTTCATCTTCTGAACTAACTTTTTCTCAGTGTCCTAAGTTTTAAGGTACACACACAAAAAAAATCCTTGTACTTTAACACAATTAAAAATTAAAACCTGGAAGTAGAATTAATGTATTTCTACTACTCTAAATTTAAGTAAAAACTGGTTATAAGTTAAGAAGACTGTATATAGTGTACACTTTTTCACATTACAAGTATTAGATGTAAAATCTCTCAGATACTCCCCACAGTAACAAAGATATTCGTTATAAACTTGTAGCCAATTTCAGAATTCAATTGCAGCTGATGTAAGATAGAACTATGCTTTAAATAACAAACAAACAATCAATCAAAAATCAATTAATCAATCAACAATGGAGTACAAACAATTTTAAAGACCTATACTTAAACTTTAAACATTAAAAAATTTTTAGAAACACAAACCACAAGCTCTTTCTCCAAGTCTTGTAAAGCCTGTGAGTCTTTTTCAATTTTTTCCAGCTCATCTACGAGAGTGGCTTGGAATTTGTCAATATTTTCATCCCTATTAAAAAGGAGCAAATTGATAGTTTTTAAACCACAGGACTCACAGCTCATAAGCGCACAGTATGCAAAGCTTACCAGACAGATTTGTGCTACAGACCTGCGTCCCCGAGCTTGATAGGTCATTGCCATCAGATGTTGTTGAGTCAATTTCAATGTCTTTGTAGTAAAATCATCCATGATTTTATGTTGGGTCTGAAAAATACTTTTAACTTAAAATTTCCTTATAAAATAACAACCTAACCAAGACTGTATTATGAAAAGTATTTTCATAACACATAAACAACTAAGAAAAACTTATAAAATTAAAAATGCAGTTATTTAAAGTCAACTTTTTATAATAAACTAGACTTAGCAGTAGCTACTTGTGTTGGCCAGGATTTGAATACAGTTCAGTTTTCTATTGTTTTAAAGAATTCCAAATTTATGGTAGTTATAAAAATTGCTACTGATCACAGTTTTGTTTTCAAGAGTATAGCTTAATACAATTTACCATTTTTCACAAAATATTTTCACCTACCAGAGACACATAAGAGTCTATAAAATTACAGATACTCTTGACCTTGGGAAAATGAAAATTAACAAATTTCAGATTGTGGGGCTGGAGAGATGGCTCAGCAGTTAAGAGCACTGACTGCTCTTCCAGAGGTCCTGAGTTCAATTCCCAATAACTACATGGTGGCTCACAGCCATCTGTAATGGGATTCGATGCCCTCTTCTGGTTTGTCTGGAGAGAGTGACAATGTACTCATACATAGAATAAATAAATAAATCTTTAAAAAATTCAGATCTTATTTTTGGATAAAAGGAAAAGTAATCAAGAGATAAGGTTGATAACATGCTAATTGTACTTATGATTGTTCAAAGAAGATAATGAACTAATTATTAGTTCAAATAAAGACGTAAGAGAATGTGATTTTCTACCTATTATTACCAAAGGTAAATAATAATTTCAGGATGTGTTTTGTATGCATCATGTCACTGGATCCTCAAAAACTAAGGCATAGTACAGATCTGGTGAAAGAAAGTTGGGAATATAAGCTGGTAGTATATATGTGTTACTTTCCATGAATGATAATCTGGGTAGTTAAGTTGAAATGTCTAAAGAGGATGAAGACATGACTATCTGTAAAATGCTCATCATGCCAGCATAAAGATCCTAGTTCAGACACCCAGCACCCACTTAAAAGCCAGCCAGTACAATATACCTGACTACACAAATTGTACCTTCATTGAGAGATCATTTCTCAACCAACCAATCAATCAGGAAGGGAAAGAAGAATTAAAGACACCTAATATAGTAGAACTTTGGCCTCCACAAGCACATATGTATGCACATGCACCAATCTGCAAAACGTGTGTATGCATATCTCAAACACAAAAACAGAAAATGTAAAATTCCTAAACATTGCAAAGACAAATTGAACAAAAAAGAATTTTTGGAAGACATATTTTAGAAGTGAGAGAGATGTCTTTCATCTGACAGTCATACCCATTTCGCATAAATGCAAATTCTGATTAATGTATGTGCAAGTTTTGTTGGCTAAGGATCAGACAAGCCATCTATTATCTACCAGAAACCTGTAGTGTTGTATGGAACTTAGAAGGTAACTCACATCAGTTTTCCTTTTATAGTCGGAGCTGATGTTATCATAAAACATTCCAGCACCTTGTAACTCCTGTTGCCAGTCCTTAGGAACAGAAAAATCTGGTGTCGATAATGAAGCTGTAATTTCAGACATGAAAAATAAAAACAATGAGCTAACATTAAGATATGTACTACCACAAAGTTTATCCTTGTCTCATTAGACTGAGAATAAAAATATTCTTCATATTTTATGTGTGTTTAAACCCTAAGCAGAGGTTTTTTTTCCATTTTTTTAATTAAAAGTGAAATCTTTGTCACATAACCTTTTGATAGGGCTATTGAGGCACAAATGACAATTAAGGTGCAACATTTGGTACTTTTAAATTTGATCCATTAATAAGGCAGAAGTAGCTGGGCAATAGTGACACACACCTTTAATCTCAGCCTTCAGGAGGCAGAGGCAGGTGGATTTCTGAGTTCAAGGCCAGCCTGGTCTACAGAGCTCATTCCAAGACAGCCAGGGCTACACAAAGAAATCTTGTATCAAAACAACAACAAAAAACAAAAACAAAACAAAAAGCAGAAGTACCTGAAGAGTATTTAGTGGCAAACTAACACTTCAAATAATTTATATTTCAGTAAGATTTAAATGTAAAACATGAAAAAATGATGGAAAAATCAGAATATTTAAGACCCAGGCTACCACTTTTACAGAAAGTCAAATTTGTGATAAAAGTCTATATCCACCTTGGACTCACCCAAAGCTGTTATTACAAAGGACTGTTTCGTTGAAGCCATCCAAACTCTAGGAAGCTACCCTGAAAGTAATTGCAGTTTGACACACTTTTGATCTGCTTACTTTTATAGGTGTGCTGATTGGAATTTTCCTTTTGACACAGTTGTTTGGGAAGCAAATGTTCCCTTTCTTCTGCCTCTTCTACTTCGGCTTCATTGGAATTACTTAGCTCATCTTCTTCTAGGTACATCCGCCTTTTGCTACCACGTCGACTAGGACCTTAAACAGTTAAAAGCTAATAGTGCTACAATTCTGATGCAACATATCTACCATCTTATTGCTTTAATACAACTATGTTAACATACACAACTTTATATTTTTTTACAACAAATTGAATGACTTGAAGTTGATATGACTTGAGATGTAGAATTCATTTAGGTGTGATTTCTAAGTAATTAGCAATTACTTTAAAAACAAGGCTGTGGCTAGAAAGATGTCTTAGTAGTTGAGAATATTTGCTACTCTTGTAGAGGATCCAGGCTCAGTTACTAGCACCTACACAGTAGCTTACAATTGTCTTTAATCCCGGTTCCAGCATAGCTGACACCTCTCCTGGGCTCTATGGACATTGCATGCACATGGAGTGTCTCCACACACACACACACACACACACACACACACACACACACGGAACTCTATCTACTACCCATCCATCTACTACCTATCTATCTTCTATCTATCTATCTATCTATCTATCTATCATCTATCTATCTTCTATCTATCTATCTATCTATCTATCTATCTATCTATCTATCTATCTATCTATCTTCAGACAGGGTTTCTCTGTGTAACCCTGGCTGTCCTAGAATGAGCTCTGTAGACCTTGAACTCAGAGATCCACTTGCCTCTCTGCCTCCTGAATGCTGGGAATAAGGTGTGTTCCACCACTACCTGGCTAAAGTAAATCTTTAAAAAGTAAGACTATGTCTACAAACCTGATACATGAGTATTGTCACTGGGCATGTCAAACCATAATTTTTCTATTTTTTCACTAGACAATGATAATGGAGATGCTGCATGATTTTCCTAAAATAAATATAAGAAATTAGAAAAGTACTATAAACACTTAAGATTCATCTTTGACTATTCATCAAACTCCCAAGCCAACAGATTTCAAATGTTGTCAAATTCTTTTCATAGCATCTTCTATCAAGCCTTTCTTTTCATTTAAAGATGACTGAAAAATAATATTTATGATAAATTAACATCAATCTCATGCTAATAGTTTTTACTTGACTTTTTTGGACATTTCTGATTTTCAGCTTCTTGTTAATAGTGTCTTTATTTTTTGAGTAAATATGGAGACACAGAAAATTTCTTGTAAAGTGACTTTTTTTCCACATTATACTTGCATTTTACTATTTGAATACAACTTTGTATAATCAGTAACTTTACTTCGATTATTATTCTTTCTTTGTTAATCTGTGTACTCTTCTAGCCAGTTAAGGGTAGCTCAGATCCTAGTTCCCCTCCAAGTTTATTTCCATATTCTATATTATACAGGTAACATATCTTTACTGATTGACCAGTGGAGTTTCATGCTAACAAGAAGTTCAGCAAATCAGATTTCTATGTAGTCATTAAGTCAGAAAGACTTATAAATATGTAAGCTCAGGAATTTTGCCCAGATATCCTCACTATTTTAAGACCTTCCTGTACTCATTTTTAAAGTTTCAATTTTTCCCATGACTAGACCATTCTACATGTTAGAAATCAGATTCTCCATTCACAGAAGCTGAAAAAAAATACTTGGTATTATGATTCTCACTGAAGACTAGCAATTTGAATTGGCATGTTACCTTTATCTTGCTTTGCATATGGTTTTCACAGCTATCTGGAGATTCAGGTTCCATATAAAGTTTCTCTGAACTATTACTGCTTACATCTGAATAGCTGTTACAATGTTGGTTTCTTTGATTATTTATCACTGAATTTGTATTTTTCGTATTCACAATAGAATTATTCTTGGTCGGAGTGTGTCTGGGCTATGAATGAATAAGACATACAGAAATCTAAGGAAGTTAGATAACTACTTAAAACAAGAAAAGAGCTGAGTGAAATAGGAAACAACTTAACATTTTAGAGAATTAACTCAATGCTAAAATTCAGAACCTACTTAAATATAATATTAATTAGTTCAATGACAGGTATCTAGCAAAGCCTGTGAGAAAAGAAGCCTGCTAGTATGGCTTCTAACTTTCAGGTACCAAGTCACTTTAACAAAAAAAAAAACTCACGGAAGCCATGAGTTGATCATATAATACAAAATTGTAATACTTTATATAATTTATCTCTACAGAAAAAAACTATGACAATCTGGGAAATTAGAGAATTCAGCAAGATCACTCAAAATACAAAATGCATTATTTTTCTTTTTTATACAAGAGCAAACTACTTACTTCTTGGCTTTTTGTTATGATAAAGCACAAAGGCAAAAGCCTTTAAAACCCCAGAAATATAAACTGGGATTTTTGTGTGTGTGTGTGTGTGTGTGTGTGTGTGTGTGTGTGTGTGTGTGTGAGAGAGAGAGAGAGAGAGAGAGAGAGAGAGAGAGAGAGAGAGAGAGAGAGAGAGAAACACCCAACAAGTGTAAAACTGAAGCAGTGTAGTATTAGCACTGATAGTCAGACTCAGTCTTGAGTTAGTTAATGTAGACATTATAAAAGGAAAACTTTAATTATTCATAGGAAATTCTGGAAGAAATGACACCTAAAAGTTTAAATCAAAATTACCATTTTCACATTAAAGAGCAATAGATTAAGGAAGAATTAGGTCTTCCTAATGTAGCCCAGGATGGCCCTAATACTTCAATCTTCCTACCTTCACCTCTTGAGTGCTAAGACTACAGGTATGTATCAAGCTCACCCACTAGAGTCTGAAACACTCTGAAGAAAACACATTTTATTAAAATCATCTGTCAGATTGGAGTTCTGGATTCCAGCAAGTGAAAGATACAATGGCATGTAGCCAATATAGGAGCAATATCCAAACCCATATTAAGAACTCCTGTAAACACTGTACCTGGTGGGTATACTGTTACAAACCTTTAATCCCAGCACTTGGGAAACAGAGACAGGTAGATCTCTAACTTATCAGTAAGTTTAAGGACAGCTAGTGCTACAGACAGAGTGAGACCCTCTTTCAAATCTTGTCAAATCCCCCCTTCCGCCAAAAAACTTCCAGTAAACTTTAAGATAAAACAATTCCATTTAAAAGTTGGAAAACATAAATCGAATTAGAGATGTAGCTTGGTGAACAATGCTTATCTAGTTTGTAAGAACTACTGGGTTCAACCCCTAGTGCCATAAAAACAAAACCAGACAATTAATTCATTGGATGTCTCAAAATTATTCATGAATGCAATGAACCAGAAAAATTCAAAGACAGACAAGAACATCAGATAGAATGCAACTGAAACTATGGAAAAGGGGCAGTCACTGTCTCAGTTCCCAGCAAGTGAATATTCAGCAAACTAAACTCGCATCAGAATAGAAAGCATTGGACTGGAGAGATGGTTCAGTGGTTAAGAACACTGACTGCTCTTCCAGAGGTCCTGAATTCAATTCCCAGCAACCACGTGGTGGCTCACAACCATCTGTAATGGGATCTGATGCCCTCTTCTGGTGTGTCTGAAGACAGTTACAGTGTACTCACATACATAAAGTAAATCTTAAAAAAAAAAAAAGAATAGAAAGCATCATATAAGGCAATTAAGGAGGTTAGAATTGCTCTGTAGTACAGCTTAAGGACAGGGCTGGTGATTCCTCCAGCTGTTCTTTTATTGTTACGATTGTTTTCGATATTCTGGGTTCTTTGCCTTCCAGATGGATTTGAGAATTGCTCTTTTGATGTCTTTGAAGAATTGTGTTGGGATTTTGATGGGGGTTGCATTGAATCTGTAGATTGGCTTTGGTAGAATGGCCATTTTTACTATATTCTGTCAATTCATGAGCATGGAAGATCTCTCCATTTTCTGAGATCTTCAATTTCTTTCTTGAGAGACTTGAGGTTATTCTCATACAAGTCTTTTCACTTGTTTGGTCAGAGTGACTCCAAGATATTTTATATTATTTGTGGCTATTGTGAAGGGAGTTGTTTCCCTACTTTCTTTCTCAGCATGTTTATCATTTATATAAAGGAAGGCTACTTATTTGAGTTAATTTTATATCCAGCCATTTTGCTAAAGTTGTTTATCAGCTGGAGAAATTCTCTGGTAGAATTTTTGGGGTTGCTTATAGATACTATCATATCATCTACAAATAGTAATACCTTTATTTTCCAAACTGTATCCCCTTGATGTCTTTTTGTTGTCTTACTGTTCTAGCTAGCACTTTGAGTACTATATTGAATAGATATGGAGAGAGTGGACATCCTGGTCTTGTCCCCAGTTTTAGTGGGATTGCTTCAAGCATGTCTCAGTTTAATTTGATATTGGCTGTTGGTTTGCAGTAAATTGCTTTTATTATGTTTACATATGGGTCTCAAATTCCTGATCTCTCCAATACGCTCTACTACAGAGTAGTAGTGATAAAAACTGCATGGTATTGGTACAGAGACAGATACATTGATCAATGGAATAGAATTCAAGATCCAGAAATAAAACCACACACTTATGGACACTTGATCTTTGACAAATAAGCCAAAAATATAAAATGGAAAAAAGAAAGCATCTTCAATAAATGGTGCTAGTCTAACTGGCTATCTGTAAGTAGAAAAATGAAAATAGAGCCATATTTGTCACCTTGTACAAAACTGAAGTCCAAGTCGATCAAGGACCTCAACATAAAACCAGATACACTGAATTTAAGAGAAGGGAAAGTGTGAATGAGCCTTGAACTCACTGGCACAGGGAAAAAACTCCTAAACAGAACTCCAATGGCTGAGGCTCTAAGATCAAGAATTGATAAATGGAACCTCATGAAACTGGAAAGCTTCTGTAAGACAAAGGACATAGTCAATAAGACAAATCGGCAACCTACAGATAGGGAAAAAAATCTTCACTAACCCCACATTCAATAGAGGGCTAATATCCAAAATATATAAAGAACTCAAGAAGCTAACCACCAAAAAAACCCAAGCAACCCAATCAAAAAGTGGGGAATAGAACTAAACAGAATTCACAACAGAAGCATCTCAAATGGCTGAGAAGCACCTAAAGAAATGTTCAAAGTCCTCAGTGATCAGGGAAATACAAATCGAAACAACCCTGTGATTCCACCTCACACCAATCAGAATGGCTAAGATTAAAACCTCAGGTGACAACACACGTTGGCAAGGATATGGATAAAGAGGAACACTCTTCCATTACTGGTGGGATTGCAAACTGGTACAACTCTGGAAATCAACCTGGTGGTTCTTCAGAAAATTGGAAATAGATCTACCTGAAAACCCAGAAATATCACTCTTGGGAATATACCCAAAAGATGTCTCACCATGCCACAGGGGCACATGTTAATAGTGGCCTTATTTTTGATAGTCAGAAGCTGGAAACAACCCAGATGTCCCATGACAGAAGACTGGATACAGAAAATGTGGTTCATCTACACAATCTTGGAATACTACTCAGCTATTAAGAACGAGGACATCCCGAGTTTTGCAGACAAATAGATGAAAACAGACAATATCATCCTGAGTGAGGTAACTCAGACACAAAAAGACATTCATGTTTTGTACTCACTAATAAGTGGATATTAGCAACAACAACAAAAATACAGAATACCCAAGATACAGTCCACAGAACTCAAAAGGTCAACAAGCTGAAGGGCCCAAGAGAGAACATCTCAGTCCCTCTTGTAAGGGAGAAGAAAGCAATCACAAGTGGGGTGGAAGGGAGGGACCTGGGATGGAAAGTGGATAGGGTTGGAGGGAGAGAGGGGAACCTGATCTGGTTTGGGGTGAGGGAAAAGGTCTGAAATCCTGAGAACCAGCAGAAAAAAAAATGAAAACAGGCAACCTAGGGAGTTAGGAGGTTGGGGGGACCCTCCAGAATGCACTAGAGATCTGGGAGGTGAGAGAGTTTCAGGACTCAAGGGGAGGGACCTTAGATGAAATGCCAGACAGTAGGGAGAGGGAACTTATAGAGCTCACCTTCAGCAGGAAGACAGGGCATCAATTGAGGGAGGGGGTTGCCATCCCGCAGTCAAAACTCTGACCCATAACTGTTCCTGTCTGAAAGAACTACAGGTATGGAAATGGAGAGGACCCTGAGAAAAAGAAGGTCCAGCAACAGGCCCAAAGTGGGATCCAGGTCAAGGGGAGGTCCCAAGGTCTGACACTATGGATGGAGCACTCACAAAAAGGGACCTATCATGACTGCCCTCTGGAAGACCCTACAACCAGCTGAAAGTGTCAGATGCAGATATTTGTACCCAACCAATGGACAGAAGCTGATGACCCCTGTGGTTGAATTAAGGGAAAGGCTGAAAGAAGCTGAGGAGGAGGGCAACCCTGTAGGAGAACCAGCAATCTCAATTAATCTGGACCCCTGAGATCTCTCAAACACTGGACCACCAAAAAGGCAGCACGTACCAGCTAATATAAGGCCCTCAACACATAGACAGCAAAGGACTGCTGGGTCTGGGTTCAATCAGAGATGATGCACCTAACCTTCAAGAGACTGGAGGCCCCAGGGAGTTTAGAGGTCAGGGGATATGGGGGTGGAGACATCCTCGCAGAGACAGTGGGGTGGGAAGAGGTATGGGATGTGGAACAGTCAGAGGGTGGAAGGAGGGACAGGGATAAAATCTGGAGTGTAAAAATAAATAAATAAATAAATAAATAAATAAATAAATACATAAAAGGTTAGAATAACTAAATATACATAGACATTTACAAAGTGCCATATGAAGGGTTTAAGGGATGCAGAAAAAAACATGATAGAATCTAATAGGATACTAGCTGGCATGCTGGTATCTGTAGAAAAATGAGTCTTGCAAAGGGGAGGGCTGATAAGTTAGAGCAGGACATTCTCCTACATTTGCTTTAAAAAGCATAGAACTATTCTGAATTATCTGGCATACTGACAGTTTAACCTAAGATTTTGTTTGTAAAATAACCTCTATAAGACTACTGGTTGGAAAAAGTGGAGGTGGGGTGGGGGGCTTAAATCATCTAGAAATAAAAAACCTTCATCTAAAAGCAGTAGGTCAGATGGTACATTATATCAGCAGTTTAAGATCTCTGATACAAGTGTGTTAAGTAGCTATTGTGCTTTTTTTTTCAGTGATGGTATTGTATTCTTGGTCCTCATTCATGCTGGACAAGTGCTCTAAGTGATACCTTCAAGCCCTAAACAGTCATTAATACCATTTTATTAGAAGCAATGGTTAGTACCTATTGAGTTTTAAAGCTCCTTATATAACTAAAGAGTCGAGCAACATAGTTTTCAATTACATTCTTTTCAATTTTGTCAGCTTATGAGTTTAATAGCTAAAACTTATTAAAGGATATATAAACACTGAATAATAAATATGCAATACATATTTGGTAAACTACAGGCAAGTTACTTACCACTTTCAGATGCATATGATAAAAGAAAATTATATTCTTACCAAAAAGGGCAGTCCTGAAGGTGAGCAACTCTTTCTCACACATACTGCACTGGTCTCATTAATTCTGGGTGATTTTTCCCAACCTACAACTCTATTGTTTCCATTTAAGAATTCAGGTGACACAGCTTTTGGATAAGGTGAAAGAGATTTTGTGATGTAGTCATAGTCCTGAGTAAAATCCCTTTCTGTTATTTTCTCTGTACCTAGATTCCCCAGAAACACAAACATACAAAACAGTATTATTGTTCATGCTTGCTCTAGAATGGGCATGACAGATTTAATAACTTATCAAATCCTCAAAGGTTAAGTATATTTTTAAAAAATATCAACTATATTTGAAATACTAAAACTTTGAAAAGTGCCCAATTGAAAATTCTGAACTTACAAAAACAATTTAAACAAAAATATTTACAGTATGAGATTAAATATAATGATCAACTTGTTATGTTAAATATCTTAATATAGTAACCTCTATAAAGTAAGAGAAGTTTTACAAAGTCAGTTGGTCTAAGTCACTTACTAAAAATGAGTACAGTAAGTCTGGGGGAGACAGCTCAGTCAGTAAAGTGCTTGTAGCATAAACCCATCAGGACCCGAGTTCATCCCCTGGACCCACAAAAAAAGCCAGGTGTGGTGAAACATGCCTATAATTCTAGAGCTTGGGAGGTGAATCTCTGAGCTCACCAGTCCACTAGACATTCTATCTGGTGAGCCCAGGTATCAGTGAGACCCACTTTTCTTAAAAAGTTGGGGAATATTCTACATACACACGTACATAATACTTGTACCACAATTTTAAAAAGAGGACCTAATTTTTAATATAAATCAATTCTTAGTTTTCAGCTCAGTCAAGGTATATGCATCTGTCTTAGCTCATCTAATGTGACAGTGATTCTGAGTATTGAAAAAAATGAAAGGATCTTGCAGCTACTTTAGGGGAAAAATATATGTTAAGTCTTGAATTTAACTGAATGTAGATATTTGGATTGCTTTAAAAGAGCCTCACAGGAACTTAGTTTTTATAATGGAAAGACATAAGTTAAATCTCTAAGAATATGAATTTTCATTACCAATTATTTAAAAATAATAGAAAAATCTCTATTTTTTCTGAAGGTAATCTGTGAATTCACAGAATCATCACAATATTCCTTAAACTTTTTTCAGTGAATTGTATAAAGGATCCCATAGAGTTCTTATGTTAATATTTTAGCTTAAAGTATATTAGAATTATGTTGTTACATCTTCATAGTTTTAGTTTATGAGTGTTAAGCATTTCCACATTGAATCATTTGATTTTTAACATCCTAAGATGACAACCTTGGATATTCTATTATGTTCTCGAGTTGGCAAAAAAACCACCACCACCACCAACAACAACAAAAACCCAAATTATTAGCACTAACTGGTTTAAAATGAACTTTTTAGCTCTTATCTCAGATATCACAAAATCAGTCTTTAAATATTTTCACAGACTCACAAAAAGAAACTGTTAAGTACTCTAGTAAAATGCAAGGGAAATGCAGAAACACTGACATCGCATCACTTCCACAGATGATGAGCTCCCAGACAGAGATGCAGAAGACAGGTACAGACTGTCTTCTCTCCCATCTCCCAGCTTAGATGAGTTTTTCTGTTCCTCTGATGCCTGTCTTTTCAGTGCTTCTGTATTGAAGACTTTCTTGGGCAGTTTCTTTGCTTGGGCTCTGGAATGGATAGTCTCCTCCTAAACACACCAGTAACTTCAGATTATACTCAAATACACTTAAACAACTGGACATATATGTTATACTACAACACTGATTTACTCATTACTATATAAGACCATAACATGAACTTAGATATTAGCAAAAATATGTTCCAGAATACTAGAAAAATATATTGACTACATAGACTATAATTGTCTGCAATAGAATACTGTTAAGGGTTCAAAGTTTAGAGAAAGTTTAGGTATGCAGTTTAGAGAAAACAGAATTCCTAAACTTCATAGTGCTTGAGACACTAAGAAGTCTGCGTGCCAGGTTGGTGCAAGGTGACATACATGACTAAGACTGTGGATCAGATCAAAAGCACATGAGAAACTCAGGTCTTTGCTTGGAGTAAAAAATAATAGAGAATTCATTATAGATTTATTATAGATTATTATTTATTATATATAAGATCTTCTGGGAAAGATCTTAAAAAGGCATTTTAAAAATGGATAAGATGTTCATAGCAGCCTTATTTATAATAGCCAGGAGCTGGAAAGAACCCAGATGTCCTTCAACTGAGGAATGGATTAAAAAAATGTGGTATATTTACACAATGGAGTATTACTCAGCTATTAAAAACAATGAATTTGAGAGGTTCCTAGGTAAATGGATGGAACTAGAAATTATCATACTGAGTGAGGTAAGCCAATCACAAAAGAACACACATGGTATTCACTCACTGATTATTGGATATTAGCCCAGAACCTTAAAATGCCCAAGATGCAACTCACAGGCCACATGAAGTCCATAAAGAAGGAAGACCAAGTGGGGGTGATTCGGTCCTTCTTAGAAGGAGCAACAAAATACTCAAGGGAGCAAATATGGAGACAAAGCGAGGGACAAAAACTGAAGGAGGGGCCGTCTGAAGACCTTTCCACCTGAGTATCCATCCCATGTGCAGTCACCAAAGGTAGATGCTGATGTGGAAGTCAGGAAGTGCATGCTGATAAGAGCCTGATATGGATGTCTCCTCAGAGGTCTTCAAGAGTCTGACATATTCAGAGGCAGATGCTCACAACTAGCCATTGAAGTGATCATGGGGTTCTCAATGGAGGAGCTAGAGTGAAGACTGAAGGAGCTGAAAGGATTTGTGGCCCCATGAGGAGAGCAACAATACCAACCAACCACAGCTCCCAGGGTCTAAACCACCAGCCTGGGAGCACTTATGGAGGGATCCAGGGCCTTAGCTGAATATATAAGAGTGGAGGGCCCTGCTGGGCACAGGTGGAAGATGAGATCCTTGACCTCATGAAGGCTGGACGCCCCAGGGGGTGGGAGTTTTGAGGGTGGGGAGGTGGGAGTGGAGGGATAGATAGAGGTTACATCCACAAAGAAGAAGGAGGAGGTGTGAGGGGATTGGGGGTTCCTGGGTGGGTGGGGGATGGGGTAAGGGGACAGCATATGAAATGTAAATAAAACATCCAATAAAAAAAAATGGATAAGATGAATGGCTTAGAAAGACATATTTGATGGTAGGTATGATAACATTAAAGCAAGAAGTAATAGAAAATATAGTGATTATTGTCAAATCCAAAGGAAACTTCACTTCTTCAAATTCTGACGGTTAGACAAAAGCCAGTATTCTTTAGGAAGCCAGTTCCTCTATACCAAGGAGCCAGATTCCTTATCACAGGGGCAAAGAGACAAATAGCTATTGAAAATTCCTGTAGCATGCTGGCCTTCAAGTACCTATTAAACATTTAAGAGTCCATGCTGGCATCCCACTTTCTCTCATGCCACTTCTTACCCTAAACTTCTCCAGCTCAGAACCTTCCCTGCCCCCAGCTTTTCCTTATAACTCTGCTATTTTGGCTCTGTTTTTTCTCTCTCAGTCTCTTCTTTTGTGCTCTTTTGGTCTTCATTGTCCTCCTCACATACTCTTTGTCTTCATCCCTTTCCCCTGCCTCCTCTCATGGCCATGTCCAGTCTGCTGGCCTTGTTCAGTCTAATACACCGCCGACTCCCCCCCCCCCGCCTTTGGATTTGTCCAGATGCATCTGGCTATACTTTCCCCTGATATCTATAATTAAAACCTTCCACTTAACTATAATTTGGAGCAGTCATGTTAATCAGTTTATACAACTATGTTATAATGTCTTTAAAGTGTTTCAGGCAAGTGAAAACAAGAACACAAACAAACAAGAGGAAATGATGTTTTAATGGGTTAAGATCAACATAGTGTTAGTTGTCAAATCTGATGTTTAGCATCTGATTGTATGGGCTCGAATTCTCTCTACCACTTCCTCAATATGTGGATTTTTATATTTTGAGCCTCAGATTCTCACTTGAACTTAAGATGAAAATACAGTAATTAACCATCTACATATAAAATTTTAAGGTAAATCTGTAAAGTGGTTAAAACTAGCAACATGCATGTTATAGGCATATATGAATACAAACAAAATATTTAGTATTAAGAAAACTAAACTTAGAAATTATCAATTTTAATTGTATTTATTTACCTTTTTTGGCAGTTTATCTTTAAACAAATATGAACAATCTTTTTCACTCTCTGGCTCCGATTCTGAAGTTGAGAGATCTTTGTAATTTTTTTTTGTTTTTGTTGCTCTTCGTGGAAGCCTGGTTCTCCCATCTACAATTACTTCATAATCCTTTTTTGTAATGTTTTTATTGAGTACCTTTAGGAGAAAAGTTTCTGAATACTGTAACATTAGTAACAGATGTATCAGAAATATAAACTATTTACTATAAAAATGGCACACTGACAATTGTATATACAATATATGTAGGAATGAAATAATTCTTGATTAGAAAAACTTAAGTGGTTGTATTTTATGTTGCCATTCCTATCATCTATCACTGTTTTATTCCTATCATGCAACATCTACAACGATAAATATTCTTCAAATTTAAGTGTGTGAGTATGCACATGTGTGCAGGCACACACATCTAGAACCAGAATTAAATAGATTCAAAATACAGACAGTGACTACAAATAAAATGTGTGAGAAAATAATGCAATGTCGGGATCAAGATCAGCTATAGAAACTGGTAAGAAAATTACGGCACGGCATGTTATTGTTATAATAAACACTGAAAGGTACATTATCTCTTGGTTACCATTGTGGATCTTGGCCGTCCCTTTTCCATGGATGATCCTGCAATTTAGAAAAATAAGATTAAAATTTTCAACCAATAAAAATTTCAAAACATTTCTGGAAGTATAAATTTAAAGTAATAAAATAATGAGCCCCTCGCCCTCAGTACTTGTAAATATTTAATAGGCTTCCCTGCTTCATGTGACTTCAGGCCACCATGACATGTTTTTAGTTCTTAATCTAATTTTTTTCTTCTGGAGAATGTGGTCTTTAGAGCTGCCAGGCTACTTTGGAGCACTCCCTTTCCCGACACTTTGTAGCAGCCAGACTATACTACATCACAATGGGACATGTATCTTTAGATTCATTCAAAAACTTAAATATTCAAAATGGTAACTTATTAGTGTTTGTTAAAGTGTAAATTGCCTGCCTCCCTTTATGTATTATCAAACTTTTAAAGAATATATCACCCATGAATCTACCTTTAACTTTAGGAGTCTCTGGGTAATGTGGAATCTACATGATCTCTTTACTGTCCCTGATAATCCCAATGGAATCACTTTCCTGAAATCTGTTCTCATTCATTTGCTTAAAAAAATTCACTTTAGGTGTTTCTAATCAGACATCAAACTTCCTAACATAGTATATCCTGTATGACTGCCCATGATTTGCTTTACTTTGTACAATATCACTTTCCTAGGACTTACCCACATTACTGATAACAGTTTTAGTCACATTTCCTTCTTGTTTTTCAAGCACAATGTATGCCATCTTTTTACATTTCTTTGAGAACTAAAAGTGGGATTATCAGTGTCAGGGAAGCAAAGCTTATTTACATGAAAAGTCTTCTAATATAGTCAATAAACAAGTTCATACATATTAAGCTTACCATCCAACCATTGCAACAAAATAGTTGTCACAGAAGAATTTTCTAAATATTTATTGACTTCAATATTTAAAACACCTATTACCACACTGAGTCCTAATCTTCATGTTTTAAATAAATATCTTCAACAGTAGCCTCTAAGAAAGCATCTGCATTTTACATTTCTCCAAAGCTTCTTCTAAACACACTGTTTCAAAGTCCAAATTCGGACCAGATCTAGCCTCATCTTTCGCTATTTTTTGATGAATATAATGTATCCTAGCTACCTCAATTTTTCATTCCCTGACCATACTATACATACTATATATTTCATACTTGTTTTACATATAATTCTGCTTCTTCTTACAACTGGTTGGACTCTTCCACCTTCTGCAACAGTCACCCAGCATTTCTAAACATATGTCAAAACTCACATCTATTTCAACTTCTTTCTAAGCCAACTCTCCTTTGACTGGCCATTTTTAATCTTGAAATAAAAGCTGATTTCCTTAAAGTAAATGTAAATTTAATTTACAAGGCCCAGAGCATTTTATAGAACTGAATAAAATTATTTGCAACATAATCTAAAAAGTAATTTCTTACTTGATTTTCTACTTTTATATTTTTTTGTATTTTTATTTCTACTATAATCCATTAGTCTTTTTGATTTTGGTTCTCTTAGCCAGCTAATGTCAGTCTTGCTGTCATCACATCCACATTCTGTTTCAGTGTCACTGAAGAGAGTTTTCTTCTCATGACTTAACGTCTATAGAAAGAAAATAAAAAAAATCATGTCTTAGTATATGACATACATAGTAAGGCAAGCTCCTACATACTCCAAATAATAAACAAAATGCTGGTTGAGTTTTGCCAGTTTTGTTGTTGTCTGCTTGTTCATTCAGGACAGGTGAGGGTGCAAACTCAGGGCCATTTATATGCTATGCAAAAGTTTTACCACTGTGGTACATCCTTAGGTATAATTTTTAAAAACATTCCATGATTTATCATAAATGGATTTTTATTTCTCATATCGTCCATGGTTAGGCAGATGCTGCAGTGAACAGTCAATGCCAGTTAACTCAAGTCCTCATTTCCACAATATTCATTTATACAAAGAGAATGCTCAGCACAGCCCAACATAGCAGTCTTGGTTTTCTTCATCTTGAAGTCTTGTCCCAAGTCCCAACTTCCAATGGAGTACATTTAGCAACAAAAAGGACCATTTTTTTTAGTTTATCCTCACACTAAACTGCCTGAGAAACATATATGAAAAGTTTTAAAATTGTCATAGGATTGGCTATGCCATCATGGTTTTCAAGGTACCATTTTCCAAACTAGTTTAGACCACTTTGGTAACTGTTCATTAACTTGAAATTCTCTCATTTCAATCCTAGTTAAGTGAGGACAGGTCTCATTGTATGTCCATCATATCTGTAATAATTTGTGTTCTGCATCAAGTGAACTATATACAATATGAGAGTCTGTCAGGAGGGTGAAGACTGAATGATCTGTTGGGAAAACATCAAGGCATTGCTGCTCTCTTGGTAACTTCATTTTATCTGTTACTCTTTGTATCTTTCTTGCTGTTATACAAATCATGTAAGTTACCTTTTTTGAGCCAGCATGGCTTCCATCTTCAGGTTCTTCTTCTTATTTTGTCCCTTTTCAGTGTTTCCACGCCCACTGTTATCCAGTGCATTCACACTACTTTGATTAGATGTGAATGAGTGAAGAGAAATTTGAACAACTACATTCTTTCACTGTAATTGTTGATGGGCTAAATAATCTTGGCAGTTAATTTTGAAAGCATGAAATTGTCAATATCATATCCAGATTTATAAGGAAAAGAAGTCTAACTTTCTTTAGTTTGACTTTTCTACTATATAGATTTTGTAGGTAGAGCAGTAAGTTTGGGGACTAAGCCTTTATTAACACTTAGACTAGCTCATTGTTAACAGGCTATGACTTGAGGTTCCTGCTACTGAGAATCTAGACTCAAAACTTTCAATGTTACTTTTCTTAATGACCACCACCCTTTGTTTTCTAGATTCAGGACTTAGAAGATATTCTCAAGCATCTACAAATAAAGATGAATGTTTGTTTCTTCTTCATCTTCAGGATTTAAATGTAGAAAACTCTTAGCCCCAAATTCATACTGCCCTTTTGCTTCCTTTACTCCTGTTTCTTGGGTATGTTGGTTTTTTTTTTCCCATGGATCCCTGGAGATTTTTCCAGAACGAAAACCCACTACAATAAACTGGATGCCACCATTCAGTGTCATACTGGCTCATGTGTACACCCCTCCATTTGTTAACCTATCAAAATTCCCTCCATGAAGGCATCCAGTACCAGAATCAAAGCTACCCGAAGAGTTGTCATCAACTACATCATGATTTTACATCCATGAAAACTTCAGATCACGTTTCAAACGACAATGACACCGTCTCTGACAATGTGTGTGTTAGGGAAGCTGAGCAGATGAAGCGGGGCACACTGAACATCACTTTTAGGTCTAGTCTAACCTCACGGGCATGTCCTAATCCCAACAGTACTATACAGGTAACAGTACTCTCTACAACACTTGTATGATTTCCTGGTTTCACTTTTTATTTTGTAGTCCCTGAAATGTTATACAATAAAGATCCTTAACCCAAGACAACTTGACAGAGCTACCTGTATTTCAGTTTTTAAAATTTCATATGGCTACCTCTTGAATTAGCCATGCTCCTTGAAGAGCAAAAATCTCTTCATTATTCTATATATATATATGGTGTTTTACTTATCTACTTCAGATAAAATATCCAATCTATGAGCCAAAACATAGTAACAGAGTCTCGAATCTGACTGTGAACTGTTTGCCTGCACACATGGAACTGGCACTGGAATGACAGATGGTTGAGGGCTGCCATGTAGGTGCTGAGAACTAAACTTGGGTCCTCTAGAAGAGCAGCCAGTATAGCTCAACCTCTGAGCTATCCTCTTACAGCCCCGAAAGCTATTTTTAAGCACCAGCATGTATTAAAATACATTTCTAGTTCACTAATCTCAAGTATTACAATGTCTAAAAGAAATAATCTTTTAACGGTTTCATTTGTGTGGGGTGTGTGTGTGTGTATTAAGCCATATATATATATATTTTTTATCTGCAGAGTCCAGAAGAGAGTATCAGATTCCATGAAACAGAAGTTACAGATGGTTTGTGTTCTGCCGAATGCACGTGCTAAGAACCAAACTCAGATCTTGTGAACAGTATCAAGAATACTTAATCACTAAGCTGAGCTCCCACTGTAGCACAAGAAATAGTGTTTTTAATTGCCATATTACATGTTATAACTTACTCTTTTATCTTTTGTTTTGAGAGAAGGGTCATGTTCATCATGATTCCTTACATCTACCCTGGAGGAACAAAAATACACATTAATTTTAAACATGTATCATATTTTGTTTTCTTCTAACAGAACACACTGGAAAATTCCTAGGATTTCAGATTTAACTCTTTCACTAGTTTTAGCATTATCTGGGTAATTATGGCCAGATTATTAATCCTTTCTGACCTCAGTTTTTAAAAATGAGTTTGAATAAAGGACTAATTTTTCAACTCTATGATCAAAGTCATAATATTCAAATTACCAATCTTTTACATATTCAATTTAAAAATAAGTGCTGATGTAACAATCACAGCTAGAGTAATCATGACAGTGGGATCTTAATGCCCTCCTTTCATATGTCAAAAACTCAGACAGTATTAAAGGACATTGTTATTTAAAAGAAAGCAAATAGAGATAAATAGAATGTGATCTATTGAATTATAATTTTAAAAAACTTACATTTTTAGTGAATTATCTATACTGGCTTCTCTAGTTGTAGCTTGAAATTCTTGGATCTAAACAAAAAAGAAACAGAAACAAAGAAAAAAGACTTATGTCAAAAATAAGAGAAATGCAAAGGAAAAAATGATCAAAATCTAGTTTCTTCATTTATAAGACTTGTTCATTAATATCAGCTTTCCATAGTATTTGTTGTTTAAAGCTAAACACACAGTAAAAGTAGACTGAGAGCAAAACAACCTAGAGTATATTTTTCACAGTAAAGACCAATGTTTTTCTTGTGATAATGCTTTATGGCAAACATTTCTCACATTCTCAGAGACTAGAACTTTTTTTGCTGGACCTTACTCCTATAGTAAATAATACATGTTGAGGTGACTTAAGACTGCTTACCTATAATTTACTCAACCTTTTTTTTCAACTTCCCTTTAAGAAAACAACATAACAAAGAACTTTACTTGCCTTAGATTTCCCATGTAATCAACTTTTACCACCTGATACAATGCTTATCTGTAATCTTAAATTATGTACTCTTCCATGTCAGACTCAGAATAAATTCATGAGTACTCTAATAATCATTTGCTAAAGACAGCAAAAATAATAGATTGAAAGCATTCTTATAAAATGAACATTCACCATAATGTTGAACACAATATGTGGCTATCTCCTGATATAAAAATGTTAAAATCTGTTATAGATTTCTGAAAGTGCCCTCATTCCTTCCCTAATGTGATGCTTTCTGTGCTGTTCAATAAACATAGACCAAAAAACCTTTTGTTAGGGGCATATAGACACAGTGACACAGACACAAGAAGAGATTCACAAGACAACCTTCAGACAGGCAAGGATTCAGACTCAAAACAGACAGAGGAAGATGTAAGAAATAGGGAGAAAGCATTAAATAACAAGGGAAACATTTTGGTTTCTTTTTTCAATGGGACACAACACACTGCTGGTGATCCTGAGCTTCTTATTAATGCATTCAAATGAATCACAATTTTTTTTTAAAGAGGAAGTCTAAGTTACTGGAAAGCCCCAGTTAACTCATTTTTCTATATTTAAAAAATAGAAAAAAACTACCTAGATATACTTATGCTTGCTATCCAAATATAACATTTCATATTTTAAACACTGTAAAGTATATGTATCTCAAGATGCATCTCACACATATGCTCATAACTGGATATAGCTGTAAGGTGAATACAGAAGAACTAGGCACAAAATCAGTGGATTTCTAGCTTACTCCAAGTTTTATAACAGGCTGATCAGCACCATTCAAGCTGAAATTATATACATCATTCCTGTGAAAAACAAAGATAAATGTTAGCACCACTATATAAGGAAAACATCCAGTCTCTTCAAATAAGAAACACTTATGAAAATTTACTTACAATGGACATTCAGAAGTAACATTAACCACAGTCGTCTTCAGTTTTCTGTAACTCTTTCGCTGAACCTTTTGCAAAACATGAAAGAGGTTTATACAAAAACATGTAAACATGAGAATGCTAGCTGTATCAGTTAAGTCACATGTGCAACTGAATTGTGACACATTTTATAGTTGTGCATTCAACTAACACAAATCTAGTATTTGTAACATTTTCCTTAGTAAGAATGAATCAGACATGTTGATCAATAGAATAGAATTGAAGACCCAGAAATAGAACCACACACTTATGGACACTTGATCTTTGACAAATAAGCCAAAAATATACAACAGGGAAAAAAAAGCATCTTCAATAAATGGTGCTGGTATAACTGGCTATCTGTATATAGTAGAAAAATAAAAATGTCACCTTGCACAAAGCTCAAGTCCAAGTGGATCAAGGACCTCAACATAAAACCAGATACATTGAATCTAAGAGAAGGGAAAGTGTGAATGAGCCTTGAACTCATTGGCACAGGGGGAAAATTCCTAAACAGAACTCCAATGGCTGAGGCTCTAAGATCAAGAATTGATAAATGGGACCTCATGAAACTGGAAAGCTTCTGTAAGACAAAGGACATAGTCAATAAGACAAATCGGCAACCTACAGATAGGGAAAAAATCTTCACTTACCCCACATTTGATAGAGGGCTAATATCCAAAATATATAAAGAACTCAAGAAGCTAACCACCAAAAAAACCCAAGCAACCCAATCAAAAAGTGGGGAATAGAACTAAACAGAATTCACAACAGAAGCATCTCAAATGGCTGAGAAGCACCTAAAGAAATGTTCAAAGTCCTTAGTGATCAGGGAAATGCAAATCAAAATGACCCTGAGATTCCACCTCACACCAATCAGAATGGCTAAGATCAAAACCTCAGGTGAAAACACATGTTGGCAAGGATGTGGATAAAGAGGAACATTCCTTCATTGTTGGAGTCCCCATGGAGTGGGGAAGTCTGGTGGAGTGCAGGGTGGGGACATCCTCTTGGAGACAGGGTTGGGGGTAGGAGGTTTGGATGTGTCAGAAGACAGACTGGGAGGGGGATAAAGACTGGAATGTAAAAAAAAAGATTAAAGAATAAAATAAAAAGAAAGAAAAGAAAAATATACTATTATTTCCCCGAAAAGAATCAATTGAGTAAAAACATCTCCCAACCAAACTACTGTCTTGCAAAGATAGTTTAAAAATAAACAAAAAATCCTAGTAAGTTCTATGTCTCTACTCAATTCAATAATCAGTAAGCAGCAGAGACAAAGTAGGTTTCTGAACAAGAGCAGGACATGGTTAAAGTTGGAAATTTTGGAAAGTAAAGAAGGTAGTGTTTGGATATAATGAAAGGTCTGGCACAAAACATGCTATAAAACAAAGAAAACTATACATGACTAGTGTAATGGCAAACTAAGAACTGGAGAGCAGATCCTTGAAGTTTAACAAGTTAAGTGAACATGTTAAAAAAAAACTATAAGTGGTAAGTCAAAGAGAATCTGTGTTTTTAAGCCTAGACAAGTAATACATATTTTAACAAAATCAAGATTCCAGGATTTGTCAGGATAGATGGGATCAGCTAGAAAAACAAAACAAAAACCAGTTAAGATATTGTGATAGATAAAACCAGACTAAATCATAGACCCCTAAAGGAAAATACCAGGTCTCTATTTGAAACTATTTTCATGGTATGGGGCTTACCTAGTGCTGTAGACATGATAGGCCAAGAACTAGACACCACAGAGGTATAACCTTAGTTGTCTTCTTTTGAGACAGAGTCTCACTAAAAGTTATTTATCTAGGTAGTCCCTAAACTTGCGATTCTTCTGCCTTAGCTTTCTGAGTAACTGGAATTATAGGAGTATACCACGTGGTCCAGTTTAAACAGAACATTTCTTTAGAAAACATAAAGTTAAGAACTATTTTAAGCCGGGCGGTGGTGGC